AAGAACTTTTCTTACATCAATTTTAGGGTTGGAAATATCTGTTTCTTGTAATTTGGCCTGTAATGTATTTGCAATTTTATCACAAAATGTCCCTATGTTGAGCCAGTGTCCTCATGTCGGGCCTTATTTATTGATTTTTTCTGGGAAAATAAGTGTCCCTATGTTTAATTGTCCGCAGGTCGAGGCATCCGCATGTGGCGGTCTCACTGTATAATTGGTGATATTCTGGGCCATGAATTCTTACTTAATGAGTTGACAGGATGTTGAACTTGGAGGCAAGGGTTCAATTGCCCAATTACTCGCTCACTTCCTTTCAAAATACAGTACATTTAATTTTTTGTTGTTGTTTTTCTCTCTCCTGTGTCAATAAAATAATAGCCAAAAGGCCTTCAGAAAATCCAAATTGTGAAGGGTTGAGGAGGAAATTATCCGAATTTAGGAAGTTTTTAATGAATTGTTTCTGACTTCGGGAGGTTCGAGCTATCGGGGTTCAACTGTATATGTGTTTTTTTATGTTTTTTTAGGTGCTGAACCCGAATGACATGTCTTGCATGGACTACGACCCAAGTGCCATAAGTCTTTACCCTGTGACAAATTCCGCTGACGGAACAGTCGCACCGGACACGATCCCAGACATCACTCCCAGCGTGTTGCCTACTTTTGAAACCCATTGCTCCAGCGTGAACCCAGTGGCCAGACAGGCCCAGGAATTCCACTTCCTCGAGACCGGGCATTTGTACTTCCAACACCCGACAAAGGTCGTCTCTCCTGACGACTTTTGCCTCGAATCCGCGCTGGACTTTGAAAATAACCAAACCCTGGCTGTGGTCATCGTTTGCGAGCCGAGTGCTGAACGGCAAAGGCAGAAGTTGTTGCGGAAGTTTGATGACCAGTGCGAGGGGCAAGTGTGTGTTTTGAAGTGTTGTCCAGCTGGGACTTCTTTGATGCGGATGCCGAATGGGCATAATACTTGTGCTGCGTTGCCCGAGGGCATGAGTGAGTGGACGCCGGTGTTTCATGATGGCACGGATTTTCACGAGGTGAGTTTGAAAGTACTGTATTGAAGCAACAAAAAAATAAAAAATAAAAAGACCGGCTATTGTGCAATCTACAGCAGAAAATGAGAAGCTCTTTAATTGCGTAAAATCTGCCTGAAGCAAAATGAGAGTCTTTAATTCCTCGTTTTGTTACAGTATTATTTTTTGTTATGATTGCTTTGGACCAATGCTATCTTTCGATACAAAACTAGGCCACAAATTCAATTTGATGAAAATAATTGTTTGGCTCGCTGACTTTTTTCGTGGGTGTTTTATTCATTTTTTAATAGTAGGTGTAAAAGGGGGTCAGTTCTTATTATGAAGGAATAACCCTGAAGCAGATATTGAAATTTAAAAAGTTTTGAATGCCTTGGAATACTGAGAATTTTGTACAAATCTATAGAGAGTATAGACCAATGCTATATTTTGATTCGAAATTAATCTTCAGATTCGATTAAAAAAAAAAACATTTGATGACTTGCGCGCTGTATATTGTGTCAAAATCGGCTCAAATAAGGAATATTAATGGGGTCTTTTACTTTTTAAAGTTAGGAATATGGCTGTTCTGACTGACCCAATTTTGAAACCAAGTTAATGAAAAAAAAATTTAATCTTCATCAGTCCAAGAGCACGTGCATTTGAATCTGTTTTCTATTTGAAATATTTAATATAATAATTTAATATAATACTGGTATTACTGGACAAGTTGAATCAACGGACTCCAAATTAAAAGACATTTTATGTTACGAAGGTTACCTATCGAATTTTTCGTTTCATTTTCGAGACGCTGGGAAGAATTGAAAATTAGGGACGACTTATAATTGAAGTGAGACAGACACTTTTCAAGAGCGCCTTGAAGGCGGTCGTTGGCGTCCCCTTGACCCGCTTTTATTTTTCTTCCTTTTCTTATTTCGTTGCATTTATGCCCAACTTCCTCTATTCCATTCTTCAGGAAGTCCTCCCATGAATTTCCAGATTTATTTCCGCCTCTTGTGTGTGTAGGTGAAATGAAGTCATGATACTGTACTACCGGTTTCTTAAATTCTTTTCCTCGGAAAAATTTTGGTCGACCTGGTTTTTAGTCACTTTTCTACATCTTGACTCAAATTAGGAGACTAGCGTCTGTATTTTTTACACCTCAAATTTAATGAATTTAAGCCGTGGGCCCACTTTCATTCTATTCAGTTTCTCGAAATCCTAAGGAATCTTCCCATTTAAATTATGCAGTACTTCCGCCATATATGAGCTTTGTCTATTTCAACACTTCCAAAATGCGTCAGCTTTTAAAGTCACGTGCCCTTAAATTTTGATTGAAGAATAATTTCTATTTCATTGAGTTGCGGGCTTAATTTTGTAATTAACTCGAAAAGAGGATGTACGATGCTATCAAATGTCAGACAGTAAAAAGTAATAACGTGTCATTTGAAGCAAAAAGCATCCTTAATTAATATTTCCTGAATGTCAAATCATACTCATTTATCATTCGTTGTTCAGTGTTATAGAGGGTACCCGCATGTTTATCGCGCTTTTGGGTAACAAAACAAAAACACCCGAGTCCTCTTTTTGCCTCGATTATTTGATTGGTTGTTGGCTCTGGTACAATTAAGTGCTCATGTTAATATCGATTTGCTATACAAACCTCTTTGAGTCGAACTTGGAGGGACTCAAATTCGAGGTTTTTTAAAATGGAAACCAGCATTGAAAATCGGTGATATTCTGGAGGACCATGAACTCTTGAATAAATGGGTTGACAGAATGGCGAGCTTGGAGGAAAGGGTTCATTAGCCCCAATTAGTCTCTCACTTCTTTTTGAAAACATCAATTACAATTTTTGATCTTGTCCTTCCGGGGTCCTCTTAAAAATGGCCCAAAGGCTTCTAGGAAATTCGAGTTTTAGATGAAGGTTCGAAGCGCAAAGTCAAGCTATTATAGAGGTTTATATTAAATACTGTAATTAGAGAAAGGCTCAACAAAACGTTGATCAATTAAATGTTTTCATAAGGGAGGTTTAGATCCTCATGAGTCAATATAGGCATTATAATTGTATATATTTGTTCCCCAGCAGTGTATTTCTTGTCATTTTTCCACAATGTGTTTTATTTTTCTCCGTTGATTAATCCTAGGTCATTGTGGAGGAGAGTGCCTACAAGGTCATCAAGGGCTTCTCTCCCATTTGCCCAGACGCCAACGCCGGGGTCCTGGCCCAACTCCCATCCCTGGTTCCCGAAGAAGCCATTTACATGATGACAACCGGCAACGTGTACTCTAAAAAGTACTCTAGAATCATCCCGGCACCCGAGTACTGCATGGACAAGTTCGTGCTGAATGCCACGGCTCATGATATCACGCTCATATGCTTTCCGCCTCAAGAGAAATCCGACCCGATGTTTGCAGTCTACTCGGCGTGTTTAATCGTGTCGAGTGTGTTTTTGCTGCTCACGCTGGTCATCAGTATTTTGCTTCCTGATGCGAGTCGATTGGGCACTTGGACCTTGCTGTGCTATGTGGCGTCTTTGCTGGTGGCGAGTCTGACGTTGGCAGGACTGCAGACCTTTGCCACTGCTGGAGGAGGATTTTGCGTCGTCGTGGGTGAGTTTTTATTTTTTTATTTTTTGAAAATTTTAAAAATTTAATTCCCACGTAAAAAAAAAAAAGTGAAATTATCGATTCTGTGGCATGTGCATATATTTTAATTTTAAGCTGGAATTCGGCGCGTAAAGCCGTTCATGAAGAAAAAAAAAATTTGGCGCGTCATTTTCAAGAAAGCTGCTTGTGTGTGCTATATTCTAGTTGTTGACTTATATGAGGAACGTGTGCAAGGAGGATATGAACGAGATTAACCTGGATTGATGACAGATTTGGAGTTTTGATCATCATAATGGTTGTTTACCCTCGCCAATATATATTTTTTTAGAGAGAGAGAGACGAATTTTTATAGCCAGTTTTGGTAATTTGAGTCCAGTTATTTTTGTAGAATAATATATTGCTTCCCCGTGTTTTTGGTTTGTTTGTGTGGAATGGTTGATTTAGTATTTTTATCAGTCCTTCCGTCCCTTTTATTTTAGTCTTGCCGTTCTGAGTTCTGCGTCTTTCAGCGGAACTTTAAATGTAGCGATTTTTTTTATGTAGTGAACTTATTTGAGGAATTTGTATAAGTGGAAAACAAATTAAATTATGATAATCGGACAGACTGAAAGAGTTAAAAATAAGATTGAGGTTCAACAAATTTGTGTTCAATATTGGAGTAAGAACGCTTCAAAAACGTCTTCTTTTGAGGGTTTAATTCGTTTCGATTTAAATAAAGCGACTGCTTTAATGTCGTCAACTTATTGGAGGAATTTGTTTGAGAGCGAGACGAATTGTGTAAGTTTACAGACAGACAGATAGATTAGATTAATTTGAGTTCAAATGAAGTTCAAGTTCGACAAATTTGAATGATGGCATAAGAATGCTGCAGAAATCATTTTACTCCATGGTTACATTTTTTTTTATTTCACGTTGAACAGTTTTTGAATTGTTATTGATTTTTCTCGTATGTTCGGAGTCGCCTTGAAAATTTTTTTAACCTTTCTCGAAGCATCGATTCATAAAATTGACAAAATCAATAAACTTGAATATAAGATTAAATTAAAATTGGAAAGACGCCATAAGTTGTTTTTTCGGTCTGAAAGAGCTCAAAACTACTAATTCTTGAAATTTTCTATGAATTGTCTACTGAGCGAACCGTCAAATTTCATGGACGTTCAAATGATGCTAGCGTATTTATTTGTCAACATTTTTATGAGCGATACGAAATTTCCAAACGAAAGTGTGTGACAATTAAAATTTTAATTTTAAATATGAAATTTCCACAACATTAGGCGGATAATCGAAAATCTGGAATGCGACGAAATTGCCTATTTTAATGACATCTTTAAATTTGTATTTCGAATTGAATGAGTTCGCTCGAGTTGATCTGAAAGCTTTTCCGAGGAATGCTAGAAAATCAGTTGTATCAAGATCATATAATTGTGTCAAAGGTCAGTCGCTTTTTTGTTAGAAGCATAGTAAATTTCATGTAGTAAAATGCTAAGGGAAGTGACGGCGATCCCAAAAAAAATAAATAAAAGAAAAAAAGAATGCATTCTCCAGAATAAGTACTTTCTCAGTCACGAATTTCTTCACTTGCGTCGGAATCGTGAAGTGTCTCATGCTTCGTAATTCTTCTGAATCTCGTGGCGCAATTCGAGTCACGGGAAGCGCGACTGTAATTTGAGTGTACTTTACAGTACCTCAAGTAGTTTTCTTGGTACTGAGTACCGACCGAGTGACGTGTGTTTCTTTGGTTCTCTCTTCCTTGTTGTTGCAGCGTGTGTCTTGTACTACTCCTTCCTGTCTGCTTTCATGTGGCTCAACGTGATGAGTTTTGACATCTGGTACACTTTGCGGTGAGTATAAAAGAGGTTTATTTTTTTCTTACCCTGTACATTTTGTTTATTTTGGTCAAGTCAAACTTTTGTCAAGTTTTCGTCGTGACACTTCTTTGTTGAAGCTGCCCTGTTTTTATTTTAATTAACACGTTTTTATTAACTTGCTTTCTTGTCCGTTTGTTTGTCCTGATCAAATTTTGCAACTCAAATTTCGCTCACTTCCCGACTAGCTAGCAAGCTGAAACTTTCAGGATAGCTTAGAAACTGATGACAATGCAATCTTTTGTGAAAAGAAAAATTATAAGAATATTTTTTAAAAAGCACAAAAGAATTTAGTAGATTAAAAAATTAATCAAAAAAACCACGTTTTCAAAAAGCAAAAAATAACCTTAAACGTGGTGCGCATGGAGATTGTTGGGAAGAAGTGAAATACAAATGAAATAGATGCGCACCCCGTTGAAGGTTATTTTTTGCTTTTTGAAAACTTGGTTTTTTAGATTAATTTTTTACTACTCCTACTACTACTACTACTACTACTACTACTACTACTACTATCTACTAAATTTTTTTTAGCGTTCGTGAATATATTTTCAACGCACCAACACTGATAATGGCAAATTAACTGGAGAAAAAATATCCTTTTATTGAAAAACCAAATGTGTAATGAACGAATGAACAGAACACTTTATTTGCCGCTTTTCAGCATTCACAAGGTTCACTCAAGATTTCCACAACCAAACCCCCCTTCCCACCCAACCCAAATCCACTCAAAGACATTTTAATCACTTCAGAGCAGGAAAGCACAAATTGCTAACAAAAATAAAAGAAAATACAATACAACATGAAGTACAACTTGTCATCTGACATGTATGCATACACCCATTCATTCCCTGACATTGGTAATAAAATATATGTAAAAATTAATTTAAAGCACAAGGTCTTCAGCTTGTTTCTGTATGAGGTTAAGTTGAATGAACAAATCACAGAGAATCTTTGACGAGAAATCATATAAAGCCAACAGTTTATCTTGATCCTTTAAGATTTCAGAAAGGGTCTCTTCATTGAATTCCTGTACTTTAAATCTATCTTAAGCTTCCTTCTATCAGTATGAAATGCTGGACATAGGAAGAGAAGGTGCTCTGGTGATGCGCAAACTAATGTATTTATGCTGCAGGTGTTACACCACTTAGACACGTTTGAAAATTGGATGAATTTTTTACTAAAGTGCCATGAATTTGTCAAATTAGCTATTTTAAATGTGTAAGTGGTTCAACTCCAGTTTAATGAAAAGCATTATAGCTGAAATGGAGCTTCAGTTCCAACCTCTTTTTTATCAGTTAAGTCCAGACAGAAACTGTAAAGTTTAGATAACGCTGTAGTTTGAATGAAACTTGTTTGTGTACAGTATTTAACTTAGTAAATCATGTTTTCTAGTAAAAAAATAAAAATTCCATACAGCAAAAAAGGTTTAGGTACAGTACTTCTCTGAAAGTCACTGCAGCGAAAAATGTGCCTCATGCTAGATTTTCTGAATTTTTGTTTAATCTTACACAACCTAACCTATGCTAAAAACCTAGCTATAATTTTTTATAGTTCGAATGTGGGTTGACAAATGTATGTAAAAATACTGGGCAGCTTCGACGAGGAAGGAACCATTTCTTTGTCTTTGAAAACTCTTGTAACTCGAAAAAACTTGTTCTCACTTTTTCATTTCACTTGATTTTCGCGAATTATTTTCTCGAGTGTTTCTGCTGGACTTAGTTCTTTGGTACTTTTGGGGGAATGGTGGTGGTTTATGATGTTCGCAGCTGGGTTCAAAAGTGATGACTTGATTTTTTTATTATTGCGTAATTCGGATCGTCTGCACAACAGAAAAGCAAGTCATGAAACTGCAAGTGCACAAAATGGTACGTGTTAATATTTTATGTGCTTTTTTTTAATTCGCTATTATTTTGTGCACCTGCTCTTTCCTGGTAGAATGAATCTGTGTAGGTTTGAAACGTGAGACTCGGTTCTGCGGCTTTCTTGTTTACTCTTGAACTTGATGACTGGGGTTTTTTCCGAGAAATACTTTTCTGGGTAAATTTGTCGATTTAATGAGGTGTATTTTTGGGCGTGGGAGCTTTTGAGAAAACTGGAAGCAGGATATCGAGTATCTGCTTTCGTGTATTGGGCGTTTTTTTTTTTT